AGGCTAATATCACTCGAGCCTCCTTTCTATTTGAAATTTTGCGGATAAGTACCTGTCACCCACGCTTAGGGGTTGACAAGTAGGGGCTGAAAATACCAATAAAACGTGTCCTTCAAAAAGCAATAGTTTCCGTGTTCGCGAGCCATTCTTAATTAATCACCTAACACCTGAGAAAACCTAGGTGGGAAGTTTTTTGTGCCTCACCCTATATAACTTACAAACTAGGCATGTTTTCATTCGAAACAATCAATAAACATTCACTAAAACTAAAACCTTCAGCAGCAAACTTTATCTAACTTCCGTTGTCTTTCGGGGTGTCTACCGGCGGCCATTTTGGGAAATCGCTGCCAGGGGGCAGTTGGCCGATGGCTCCACAACCAAATTTGTTTATATTACATCGGTCTACCTCTGTGCCAAAGGTGGCTTTATCAAAAAGTACACAATAAGTTAGCTAATCCGCTGTAGGTACTATTAGAACTTTAATAAACATACAAAACAGTTCATATCCGAATCAGGATTTTCAGGAGCATTTTGGAACAATTTAGAAACTTCAGAGTTATTTTAGAACAATTAGGATTCAATTTAGAACTGGAAACCTTTTAGAATACTTTTAAACCAATTCAACTTCACTTTGGAACTACAATACGGCTCTTAAATACTCAAAGATCTGTCAGAACATTTTGAAAAACATGAATCCTCTGCAAACGAGCGTACTTCCCAATTAAGAAATTACTGGAAAACTTCTAGAATGTTCCAGAACTTTTCAAGCTAAGTTGGAACACTTTGGACAAACCTAGTGTTGAAATTTCTTTCACTATAAGTTACTTTTTATTCTCCATGAAAAAGTTCTCTCGAGTTTTTTTGATAATTGATATAATACATATTTTACGAAATACTCGATAAGTTCGCAACAAATCAAGATGGCACCCATTTTCCACCAATGCATCTAAGTGCGACTTATGAGGGATTAATTATGACCCTATTTACTTAGGTACTGCTCATTTCCGCAGAGATCACTTTGTTACTAATTTTTTCTACCTCCTCTGCATACTGCATAATCCTGCCTAGATTGACTACACTAAGCAGTATTGGACACATTACAAAGCCGAAGTTTTTTTTTTTGAAAAGGGTGAATGGAAAAATGGTTGAAACACCGTACCGTACAGTAATTAAGTCAAGTCTTAGATGGTGCATCAATCAAAATTCGCTCTTCGTATATTAATAGTATATTACATACCGAGAAGGGAAGTGTTTCATTACTGTCGAGAGATTTATATAGTCAATCGAGCGTCGAGATTGACTATTAATCTCGAGACAGAAATGAAAACTTTCCTCCGAGGTTTGTATACTATTTTATTTGCAAGCGCACCATTAATTAGGTTATTCAATTTTTTTTGTATTAAAATAGTATATTAAAGTATAAGTGGATATTAAGGTCTTTAAAACACGCGCGAAATAGAGCAAGTGTTTTAAAGACCAGTTATCCACGAATACTTTACACTATTTTTTTTTTATTGGTACCTATACGTTCAAATCATAAATTACTAATAATTGTAGAATGCTAAATTCGTGCTTGACATTTGTTACATTTTATTTGACGTTATCTACAAGTACCTAACCTACAGCTGACAAATCAATAATTAAAAAATTGACATTTAAATCTTTCTCGGGTTGTTGGTTGTTGATGTAGTCATTGGTAACTTTAAAACACGCGCGCTTTTGAATGTTGGATTTAAACACGCTGAGGAGTACTTTAAATAAGTGAAATAGGTTATCAATAAAAATAAAATAAAACAAACATGCCAAAATATGCCATTCACCTGTTTTGACGTTTTTACCCGAGGGGTAAACCGCTGAAAAAAATGTGTACACTAATTCCCAGGATTGTTACTAATTCCTCTAATTCCTGTCATTTCTTCTAATTCCCTTCTAATTCCCTCTAATTCCCTCTAATTCCCCTCTAATTCCCACTAATTCCCTTGTAATTTTACTAATTCCTCACTAATTCACCAAATCCACCACGTAAACTTGGCCAACATAATATGATGTTAAATAAATCAAGCCTAAATATCTGGGTTTGCAGTAGGTATTAAAATAAAAAAGCTGGAAAAGATGAACAATTTAATCTCACATCAAAAAACTTATAAAAGAAAATAAGAATACCCGTTATTTGTATTATAAAACTAAAGATTGTTTCTGGTACCTACATATAACAATATTGGAAAAAAATAAAAAATTATTGTTTTTTAAATGCCTTATACCTGCTCTTAATATTAACTTGGTCTGCTCGTTTTAACTCGAATGGGCCTCCACCAATTAAATTAATAGGTCCGTAGAAAATAAAATCTTTATAAACGGTATCAATGTCTTCTTTTCGGGGCCAAATAAATGTGTCGAGCTCTGCTTTCAGAAACTTTATTTTATAATATCCTTTATCTTCAATTATTCGACCAATGAACCATGATTGGTCATAGAAAACCCCATAATAGTTTTCTAAATGTATCTCCGGTACGGCAGTTTCCGATAAATTTTCTGATTGACACGGCAACATCTCATCTGAAAACTCTTCCAAATCATCGGAGTCGTCTAGTTCCATCACGTCCCAATCAGTGGATGAGTCAGTGCTTGTGCCACTAGCTTGATCCATGGGTAGCTTCTGTTTAGTCTTTTTCAAGGTTGGCTCGGAGTTTTTGGAAACTGATTTCTCAGGTGTTTTTCCGAGGTGCTTTCCTTGTACTGCCTATAAATCTTTTTAATCGGTCAGTGCTTACTCTACCGTTGGACTGATCTAAAAGCCAGCAGTACGACGACTTTTTGATAATTGAGGTTTTTTTTACCGATAACTACTTTAATATACGGTGATTTTTCCGATACAACATGCACTTTTCCGGAAAAGTCTTTTAAATTTATAGAACCCGTTTCCAAAGTATCACCTTCGCCATCTTCATTAGAAATCTCCGAGGAAATATTCTCCGAAATTAAGTCCATAACCTCGTTCATAACTATATTGCTCTCATCACTAATATTATTTGTGTTTGCCACATCATGGTCAATTTCATTTTCTTCACAGTTCTCGCGAACTTCAACGTCGTCTTCGTTCATGTTTACGTTCTCCTGTGTAATTTCGATATTTTGTTTCCGTTTTATCAATGGTACCTGCATAAATTTCCAATCGTTTTCTTTTGCATTGAGGCCGAAATATCTCATGTCCTCTATGACATTTTGTAGAGCTTCTTCAATTATAGCTTTGATATCCAAATTGAGAATTTCATCTTCACGTGGTAAATTTTCTTTCATCAGTCTGTCTTTTAATCTTTTTTCTTCCCTTGGAAATGTGAAAGTCCCCCTCAGATCGTTTATGGTATCAATTGTTGTCTTAATTCTCTCAATTCGGTTCAGCATATCCTTTATACTAAAATTAATTATTGTGGAATATGTAGAGGTCATGGACCTAGCAGCTCGAAATAAGGATTCACATGCTTGGCTACCGAAAATATTGATGCTGAACATCTCTGGTTTCAACTCACCGCTTTTAAGCTTGAGTATTAGTTTAATTAAAGCATGGGCGTTAATCTCGATACAAAGGTAACAGTTACTTGTCAAAAAGTTGTCTGTTATTTTATATTTTTTTTCTGATTTAAGCCAGGATCTCCAGATTCTGGTAAAAAATACAACATACCAGATGTCATATAGTCTAGTACGCAAATCTGTGTTGGAATTTAGGAACGCCGATTCGACGTAGTACATAAGCTTAAGATACGCCACACTACCTTCACTTTGTGGAATTTCTTTTTTCAGTTGTTCAATTACTATCAAACTGCACATTTTTTCTGCCGATGCGAAATTCATCTTGTCTTCACTTCTGAGATCAGAATCTGTTAGAAGATGTTTGTCTTTTGAAACCTTCAAGATAACTGTCTAAGATGATCAGAGGTGGCAGTATATTTCCCAATTGGCAAATATATTCCAGGTTTTAGGAAACGAGTACGCATTTTTGTTAAAATATGGGTGGTGTCCTGTACATAACATTCTTCATTTTTTTCAATGCTGCAGTGCTACCACTCCCAATCTGGAACTGGCAATGAATCAAGTACCTCTGTATCTTCTGGGTTTGTTTGGTTTCTTTCCTTATATTCAGGAGCTAAACGGGAAATCAAATCAGTATTTAAGCGCATAGCTCTGAGGAGGCGAGTATCGCCGTCTGAGGAAAATCCCATAATTGTGATGCCAAATTTTTTAGCTTCCTTCTTCATCCATTCCCATCTCAAAGTGACCTGTTCAGTAGTGAATGAATTATCAGTTCCGAATAAGGACAAGCAGTATGTTGATGCCCCAACATGTAACGGTTGTGCCACTATTACATAAGCATATGTTGCTTTTACTCCGGTTTGAAAATATGCCTTGATTGCTTCAGCAGAAGTGGCAGGAAACGTACCTTGTTGAGGCAGGCCATCCCTCAATGGTAAAACCAATCCTATTACATTATTAGATTTGCTGTCATATTCAATTTTGCCTGTTACGCGAGTGCCATCCTCGGATACCCAAATCATTTTTGGTAAACCTCGAAGTGTTTTAATAGGCCTTTAAAATCAAATCCTCCTTCTTGTAGAGGCTCATTTCTAGTGTCCAAGAATCTATTTAGGGTAGAAATTGAAGGTAAACTATTCTCTAAATTTGCCTTTAGTGTTTCATAAAGTAACCTCCCCCCAATATAAAACAGGTATACTGCGAATTTTTTTTGTAGCATCATCGTATCTGTTTCTATTGTTTGAGCAAGTGGAATTCTTGAGTGATAAATCCTGCAATGTTTTGAGTAATCGCGGTAACTCAGACACAGAATTATCAGTGTTTTGGACAGTTTCTATTTCACTTATGTTCTCCAAAAGTTCATCAGCTAGTCCACTATTTCTACTTACTACTTCACTCACTTTTTCAGCAATAAAAAAGTAATTCGTGATTAAACTTTGGTCGTCTAATAAGTTTTCTCTAGCTCGTCTCACTCTTTCATGCCTCTGATATTTCTGTCTTTTCCATTTTGATGGTACTTTATCCATATCTTGGTTGTCGATTTTGCACAGTTGATTCGATGAGGTATTCGTTGATTCGTCAATACTGTCTAAGCACCTATCGTTAGCTTCAAAGAGACCGGTGTGGTCCTCGGTGGGGTCGCTGCTGTTTGCCTCTGAGAGGGTAGCAGAAGCCGTGCCGAAAGCAGTGCTCGTAGCGGATTGAAACCTTGAGTCTAGATAAACATCACACAGTTTTTTCGGCAAAGTATTGGTGGAATGTGAGGCAGGAGCTCGGGAAGGAGATAAAACGACGTTACCAAGAATTTTAACTTTTGATGACTTTTTATTCAGGATAGGATCTCGGATAGGATTAATCTCGTGATCATTAGTTACCAAATAGGAAGTGATGGACTGTTGAACGTGCTGAAATTTCTGTCGATACATCGAATGCCGAGGTGGTTTGTGTTTTGAAATGTTTAGTCATGAAGTGTGTATGAAAATTTGAGTAAATCCAACTTTTCTGCTTTTTCCCAGGTTTAAGTATTTTGGGGAGTTTGTATGTCGCGTTACAGAAGCAGGTTACTTTCGAGAACATCTCTTGTTGGTCGAGTGAAGTTACAATTTTAATATCATCGAATTTATGCTGAAGCGTTTCCCATAAATCGGCTTTTGCTTTTGATTTTGCCCATTTCTTCTTATTTCGAAAAATCAAGGCATTCTCGTCTGTCAAGGTCACAGCTCGGTTCACGACAGGTTTCTGATTGGTAATCTCCCTAGCATTGTTCTCGGGATGGAGTTCTTCCTCTTGGGATTCGTTACTCAACAATTCTGAAGATTCAACAGAAGTTTTTGACCTCTTCTTGGGGGGCCCTTCTCGATTAGTTGGCGCTTCGCTTGGCGCAGATGCTTGAATTTCTTTTTTGTGTGATTTTCTTTTCTTTTTGAAATGTTCGATCATCCAAAGTAGGACTTGTTGGTGTGCGGGTAGCATTTTGTAAATTTTAGGATTTTTGCTATATATTCCATAGTATTTTGCTCGATCTTCCTCATCGATGAGCTGAAATAAATCAGTCCTCGCAAACTTTTCAATTTCTGTTATAGTTGCTTTGGTCATTCCAGCTATTAAAGCTTCATTTTCATAGCCACAGCTCTTCAATAAGTTTTTCAAAATTTCTGGTATTTTAATATTAAGTGCCCTTTCCGCCTCTTCAAAAACATCCCCATTCCCGGGTTCACCAGTATCACTCATCTGTAAAAAAAGTATCCCATAATTAATAGTTTCCGAGATAATTCCCAATAAACCCAACAACGACAATCACACCATAACAACAAAAAACTTCCCTACCCAGAAACAACCCCTATATGCTGCTTATGGGAATCTTAATAAAATTAAATAAAATATCGTGCAAAATATCCACGAAAATAGCTCTCACAAATAAGTTGTTTTTTGATCTTGCGCTTAAATAACTCCTTAGGAACATCAAAAGAAACATCCATTGCTTAATATTTTCAATTTCACCCCACCGCCACCTTTCAATTTGTTACTATTTCAGTATTGATCAGGTATATCGTTGAAATAGTACGATTTTTCTAATCACTATTCTCAAGTAATAATAAGTGTAAAAAAGTGTAACTCAGAGCAAAAAGTGTAAGAATACAACTCGATACAACCCAATATTAAAAGTAGGTATAAGTCGAGGTACTTTACTTGAATTGAAATGAATTTAGTATTTGAGGTTAGGTATAGGGCACACTATCTATCTACTTCTATAATTATTGACCTACGTGAATAATAAATTTTATAGACCACATGGCGAGAAGAGCTTGTGATGAGATTAATTGGACAATAAAATAAAGGCTATTTCTACTGTTGTCTTAGAAAAAACATATTTACTTACTGTATAACGAGCTGTATATAGAATAATCTATGCAAATTGATCACCTCATTGGCACTACAGTCACTCCACCACTGAGACGCACTCGCTCTGAGATTATTATTTGAAATTTATTATTGTATTTGTTTTGTTCTCGGTTTATATGCCTCGATTTTAGAAACAGTGGAATCTGGAATAATTTCACCATTTGCTAACGGCTATTAGGCCACTGTTGCCAGTTGACGTTGCCAACCAGCAAGTAAATTTACCGAGCTGAAGCGAAATAGGCTTCACTCACGCAGCTACACTTGATCACGCGTTGCCGATGCGACGTTGCGTAATCTACTAATTTGCTTTTGGTTTCTTCTAATTTCCTCTAATTCCCCAGTAATTCCCTTCTAATTCCCCACTAATTCCACTATTTCCTTACTAATTCCCCAAATTTCCCGATAATTCCTCTAATTCCCCAGTAGTTTCTCTAATTCCACCTAATTCCTCTTATTCCTTACTAATTCCTCGATATTGTACACCAAAATTCCCCTGCGGTTTACCCCTCGTTTTTACCTGACATGTTCTCATTGTTGCCAGCAAAGGTAAATAAATTAGAGTGAGGGAAATCGGTGAGGGAAGTCGAATAGGGAAATCGGTGAGGGAAATCGAAGAGGGAAGTGACACAAGTAAAGTGTCACTCACAGATTAACCCGTTCTAGGTTAGTTAATCTATGTGGTGTCACTTTTAAATTTTTAAAGTCAGTAATGTCGAGATTACATATATGGTTGCAAATAAAATTAATTACCTATTCTTGAAAATACCACTTTGTATTCAAAATTCGCTCTTCGTATTAAAATTAATTACCTATTTTTGAAAATACCACTTTGTATGGAAAAAGTTGTTGGAAAAGTTTCTGATCGTTTGCTGACAAAAGGAGAGAATAATTATGAAACATTTTCAAATAAATTCAATTCAAGAAACCAAATCAAAGGAGAAACTTCTCAAGAATACATTGAAAAAATAATTAAATTAGCAAAAAAATGTGAATATGGAATTATATAAAATGAATTACTTAATAAGAGATCATCTTGTGGTTGGAATCTTGGACAAAATCTTTCATAATCCTTACAGTTGGGTGCATTATTGACGCTTGAATGAACAATAACAGAAATCAAGCCGAATATGTGTAGATTATACTAAGCTATCAATTACCATTAGTTGAGGAAAAAAGAAGATGGTATTTTATATGGAAAATAAAATTGTTTCAAAGGTTTCCAGCCAGGTTCCCACCTCTTGTCACTGAGAACCGATTTTAGATTTGGATTTTGATGAATTATTGTTTGATTGTTACTTGTGGGGCTTTCTAACTAGTTTTCCTACTTGGAATGAAGTTGTCTTGTAACTTTTGCTTCTTGACATGGCCTGCACACATCTACTTGGTATCGGCAAGTTCATTTTTTTCATTTACTCTTCGGAAATATATCTTGATCATCTTATACCAGATGTCTCCTATAACTAATAAATTGCATATTTCTCCTGTAAAACTAAAACTTACATCATACAGATTCCCTACTGCCTTACATAATATTATACCTACACTCTAATACTTATTTATTTTTCTGTGTAGACTTTTTATATCTATCATAATTTTTTCTATATCTTCAATTTCAAGATGATGTGTCTTTCTGCTGTCCAATATGGAATCTATTTTTGAATCCTCTTTTTTTTTCAGCATCAAAAATATTACTTAAAAATACAAGGTCATTTTCTATCTTGTTCGTTCCTTCATCTATTGTATAATAAGCCTATTTGGTCATGCCCTTTTAAAAAAAGACGCCCTCTACTCTTCTAGAATCTTCTTGAAATTCTCCTGTATTCAAGTTTCCATTTTTTCGCAGTTTCTCAAAAAATATGGACGTTCTTCTAGAATATCCTGGAAATTCTCCTGTAATTAAATTTTCATTCTCCTTTCGCATTCTCTAAAATAATATATCCCAAACGTTTTAAAAACCTTGAAATTTGTCACTGCAAAATGCTGATTCATTGCTACCAGTACTTACAGAAATGAATGAATCTTCCAACTTTGCATCCAACAATTTGCTACTTTCAAATTCTACTAACGTAATATTAGTTGTAATGTTTCAATCGCTGTTATTGAAGTTTAATATTTTTCGCGCATAATTAATAATTAGCATACCTTGTCACTTTCCTCCAGATTTGTTCTCGCACTCTCAACTTCCCTCAATAAACTTTCTACTTGCGCGAAATAATCTTGTGTACAAGTGAGGAGTTATAACTTTGCTTGGACACTTCAACTTTTTCATAAGAAGGTATTTCAAATGTTTATCCTTCATACATTGTTCTTGTTTGATACACAAACAATTCGTGTCTCATGTAGGCCCGGTTTATTCATATTCCGATAAACTTGCTGGTTACTATATCTGCAAGATAAATTAACCAATCTATAATCCTATTGGTCGACGGATAACTGGTAAACCAATAGGATTATAGATTGGGTTTTATCCGTCAAATTGTATAACCTACATTTTACCAGATAGTGGATAAACTGGGCCTTAAGGCCGCGTCAATGGCCGTCATGTTTAAATTTAGTATTTGAGAATGACGACAGCGCCACTCTACACATAATGTTCAATATTTTATTTTTTCTCCAAAACAAAATCTGTTTGTCGGTGAAACACTTAGTGAAAAAGAAAGACAAATATACAATTCTGATGCTCCCAATGTAGCTTTTTTACCGTGGCGCCATCTACTTGAAATTGCTTGAACTGTTTTCACTTTCAAATTTCGTTTTAAGGTCATCTCAAAAAATCCGCAATAATTTCCAAAATCCTTTGGCATAAACATTTTTTGATATATTATCTACAATCTTTACAATTAGCTTTTTTTAGCTTTTCGTGGTTATCAATAAAATATGCTTTTCACGGATCCAAGCTTGATAAACATGCAAATATGCAACCACCAACACATTTAGTTGTTTTGGTGGTTGCGAACATGGTTTTTGAATTTAAAAAAAAAGACTGAATATCGAAAAACCAAAATAAGGAATTGTAGATAATCGATCAAATAATGTTTATGCCAAAATTGAGCCAATTCTGATGTGCCGTTTCTTTAAAGACCTTAAAACAAGTTTCGAAAAATTAACCAATCAGAGCACTGCATTCTCATCGTTGTTGCGGCCTTAATCAAATAATGGTCATGCAAGTCAAAAACACTGTGAGGGCCTAATCAGTCGGTAATAGAAAATACGTTCGAAAAATAGATTAATCGTAAAATTTAGACAAATGACTGAAGTCAAACATAGAAAACATCTACAATTCAAAATTCAAGAAAAAAAGTAGGTATATAGGTAAAAAAAAAATACCTACCTTCTTATCTAATAGATAACCAATTATTTTTGAAAAAATCAAGGAAAAAATAGTTGTTAGTTAAAAGAAACTCTGAACAAACTAAAAAGATATGCAAAAAAATCAAACATAAACTATAAACTAAACAATATAAGAAAGAGGTTACCCAAAAAATGTTGTAAGAGGTCATCCAAAGAAACAAATGAAAGAGAAAACACAGAAATTCTGATAAAGAAATCTCTTGTAGAATTCGATAAACTTATTGAGGGGTCAGTTAAGTTAGCCCCCCCCCCATATTTCCAAATCCATTAAAACTTATACCATTTTTTTGCACCCATTTTGCACCGTTTTGCACCACCTGAAAAAAATGTTGCACCCCCTCAGGAGAAAGATTGTATAGAAGTATTACTGGGGGGTGGGGGCAAATTAACCATGGCCCCCCCCCACACGCCGAATTTCAATTTATGATAGCATAAATTGTTCTATGAGTTTTGCACCATTTTGCACCATAAATATTAAATTTTGCACCGCAACCCTTAGACCTCTACAGGGGTTTGAAAGAGAAATAGTTGGCCCCCCCACACGCCAAATTTCAATTTAAAATACTTAGCAGAAATTGTTCTCCGAGTTTTGCACCATTTTGCACCATAAATATTGAATTTTGCACCGCAACCCTTAGACCTCTACAGGGGGTTGAAAGAGAAATAGTTGGCCCCCCCACACGCCAAATTTCAATTTAAAATAGCAGAAATTGTTTTCCGAGTTTTGCACCATTTTGCACCATAAATATTAAATTTTGCACCGCAACCCTCAGGCCTCTACAGGGGTTTGAAAGAGAAATAGTTGCCCCCCCCACACGCCAAATTTCAATTTAAAATAGCACAAATTGTTGGCCGAGTTTTGCACCATTTTGCACCATAAATATTAAATTTTGCACCGCAACCTTTAGGCCTCTACAGGGGGTTGAAAGAGACATATTAACTTTATTCCAATACAGAAAACCCTATACAATTTACCCTCGAATTTACCCAAGGATGATACACACTACACACGAATTGCTTATAGGCCTCTTTTTGGATTTCAAGGTCATCTGGTGTAGCACCAGACAGGCTGTTTGCGCCAGCAGTGGTCGCAATTTAGAATATTAAAGCAGACGCCAGCAGAATTATAGCCTGTGGTGCAAACACCCTACGTCAAGGCAAGTCAAGGCGAGAAACGACACGCTACTACGTCATCGCCGATACTTTGGCACTATTTCTCTTTCAACCCCCTGTAGATGCTTAAGGGTTGCTTTGCAAAATTTAATACTTTGGTGCAAAACTCGGAGAACAATTTGTGCTATTATAAATTGAAATTTGGCGTGTGGGGTGGCTAACTATTTCTCTTTCAACCCCCTGTAGAGGTCTAAGGGTTGCGGTGCAAAGTTTAATATTTATGGTGCAAAATGGTGCAATACTCAAGGTGTTCCGTGAGTATTGCACAAGTTGTTATTTGTAGTATTGCACAAATAACAAATTATTATTTGTGCTATTTTAAATTGAAATTTGGCGTGTGGGGGGCAATTATTTATCTCCCCCTGTAGCGTCCTAAGGGTTGCGGTGCAAAATTTAATATTCATGGTGCAAAATGGTGCAAAACTCAAGGAACAATTTGTGCTATCATAAATTGAAATTTGGCGTTCGGGGTGGGCCAATTATTTCTCTTTCAACCCCCTGTAGAGGTCTAAGGGTTGCGGTGCAAAATTTAATATTTATGGTGCAAAATGGTGCAAAACTCGGAGAACAATTTCTGCTATTTTAAATTGAAATTTGGCGTGTGGGGGGAGGCCAACTATTTATCTTTCAACCCCCTGTAGAGGTCTAAGGGTTGCGGTGCAAAATTTAATAATTATGGTGCAAAATGGTGCAAAACTCGGAGAACAATTTATGCTATCATAAATTGAAATTCGGCGTGTGGGGGGGCCATGGTTAATTTGGCCCCCCCCAGTAATACTTCTATATAATCTCTCTCCTGAGGGGGTGCAAATTTTTTTTTGGGTGGTGCAAAACGGTGCAAAATGGGTGCAAAAAAATGGTATAGGTTTTAATGGATGTGGAAATATGGGGGGGGAGGTGCTAACTTAACTGACCCCTTATTTGCGAGCATTGGAAAAAAATTGCCTTATGGGTAGATAAAAATAGTTGGACTTTTGGACAAAGCAAATTTGAGAGGAGTATTATATTAGATACAACTAAATATTTCTAGAAATATCAAATGATGACAAAATGTTATGGGAAAATTTAAAAAAAAATGCGCTTGTTGTATTTCTGAATAACTTTGTTCCAAAAGATAACTTTATAATAAATGAGGTTGTGAACAGTGGCAAAAGATTACGTCAGTGTAGAAAAAATTTGACAACTATCGATCTAATTTGTTTCCAACGTCCTTTATAGTTATTTATGTATCAAGGGTACTAAGTAGATGATTATGCCCTGAGGGCGACACTCTTACAAAGCCGAGGGCCTTTGGCCGGAGGGTTCGTAAGTCGCCCGAGGGTATATATCTATTAGTACCCGTGGTGCATACAAACTTTTATGTCATACCAGTTGTGTCACTTCGCAGTCATACTAAGTGTCACTTCGCAAATTGTCATCAGTGTGCTAACATCATCATTTTTTGACAGTTGTACAAAAAATTTGACAGTTGTACAAAAAATTATATGTTTATGAGCATGAATTTATATTTTTTTAATAAAGAATAAGTTAATCGAAAACTGTTTTTTGCGTCTTTATGCCCGCGCGGGCCGGGCATAAAGTAATGAATTATGTAGATGGTATCTAAGGTATAAAAACACAATCATGTATTGGTATGACATAAAAAAAAACAACTTTTATGAAAGCTGCCTCGACAGTCGTGTCATGAGAATATTGTGTCTACGCGGTGAATATTATAAGGGCAGTAGCAATAATTAATAACATAGCCGACCCTTAAGTGAAAATTTTAACATCTAAGTAGCTAATTCTGATAATGTCTCTCTCACCTGTGGTCTCCATGATATGAATAGTATAGGTAATCAACAGGAATGATGTGTGAAATTGGAGTATATCAAAAAATACAAATTGATGATGATTAATTTTCAGTTCAACAGATAAATAAAAACTTTACTAGTCATATATATACATAATAATTGAAATCCTAACTAATACATTTGTTTTTTTCACAGATCCATTCGGAATGTTTGGGACTACCCCCACCGCTAACTACAGCTACACTTTCTAACCTACAGCAAATCGATGCCAGGCTGTTGGAAGTCAGTCCAAGACCGATTAGCTGTTAAGCTGTTTCTGCCAAACTTTATTATTGAAAAACACGTCTTTTTGCAAGCTACTAAAGGACTTGAAACTTTTTCATATTTATTTTTTTTTTATAAAAAAAAACTCTTTGAAGCTTTTTGAATTTCCTTAGGCCAGTTCTTCTGTTTTTTTCCTATATCGACTATACTGCTAAAGCTTAGTTTCTAATGTAAACTATAGAATATAGAATAAATACATATCAGAGTATATAAATATTAATATAAAACAAGAGATAAATATATAATTATTTATATAAAGCTTAATATATACATTATATTAATTTAATTGTTAATGTTTTTTGTAGCTTTACTTTTTTGTTTCTCAGATTCTAGATTATTTTATATAGCTTATATGTATACATTTTTTTTTACAAGGTGTTCTTACCTAATTTTTGTGTGCAATCAAGTCCCAATAATAAAATTTAAAAAAAAGGGACGTTATATTTATGTGGAACACCTTTTTGGAAATAATTCAATAATTATTTCTTAAGAAGTTTTTATCTATTTTTCAAAAATAGGTCGTTTAGTTAAACAGCAAAATTTGTCTGTCTTCCATATTATTTCCTTTTTAATTGGCTTAATTGACAAAAAGCTTTTATTTTAAATTTTAAGAAAGTTTGACATAAAAATTTTACGTTTTAAGATTTGAATTAACTATTACATATTTTATTTGTAGTTTTCTAAACCTTGGACACATTAACTATTTATTTCAACTTATTTACGTATTATTCAGTACTTTTTCATTAAAAAAATATGCGGACCAGTTAAAAATTAACCAAATTTCAATATTCCAGCTCTATGCTTTAGCTTTGAAATAAATGATCAATGCATAATCCAAGAATCCAAGGGCCAAACTAGAATTTCTATTTTCAAAAAACTGTTACAATACTGAGATTGTTTTTTGTTTAAATATATCCAAACCAAATATCATTTAAGTTAGTTTAAATATGCCGCTAATTCGATTTACTTTAAAAGAAAATAGCTTTTTTTATAACGGAAGCTTTTTTCCTGTCCCAAACCTTCTCTGCAGGGTTAATCGGGACTGATACAACTAATAAAATACTTGCCTCAAAACACAAGCTTTTATGTTTGAAAAAAATAACTAGAATAATTACGCTCAAAAATAGTCACGTAAGTGCAATAAGAGTATATTTTATATTTTTTAGTGATATATACTTTAGTCAATTTTTTTTATCACTAAGTGACTAGAACTAGAAAATATTTAGTTTTGTTAAATAATGCATAGTTTTATTTGTATAAGACGCACTCCAGAAACATAGTCAAGTTAGATTAAAGTTTACATATTAGTTCTAATAAACAATAAGTATGAATTTAGATGGCAAAGTTGAGACAGAACTTTCCATCTCTTTATTGATTTTGTACCTATTTTGCATTTATGAATTTTGTACCTACCAACAAAAAGTCAGTCGATGATCAATCAAATCCTTGCAAGACTATTTTGAAATAATTTGATTGACCATGATAACTGAACTTATATTTTTCTCGGTGCAGAATCTAGTCTTAAGAAAATATTTCTTATTCGCAATGACAACTAGTTTATAAATTGAGATCTAGTTAGATTTTTTTTGCAGCTATGTGATTTTTTTTTAAATAATTATTACTGATAAATGAATAGATAATTTTTTAGTACTAGAAAGCTATAAATATTCGTTTTGACAACATTCTGTTAGAAGCGTACTATATTATTATACAACAGGATTTATATGATAAATCTGTGCGATTTATACACTGTTTTTTGTTTTCACATTATAGACAATAAAAATACGAATTGTTAAAATAAAATTGGTTTTATTTCTATTGGCTCCAAATTTATGTTTAAAAAAATACAAATGCATAGTCTATTTATGATCAACTTTTTAGGGTTTATGCACAAAAAAAATAAATAATAGGAAGGTGGTCTTAGTTATATTTTTTTGTTATTTTGATTAGAAGTCCTTGTGGACAGAAAACAAATAAGTATATCGAGTTATACATATAGAGCCTCAAAGTCAATTTTATGTTCATTTTGTGTTTTTATTTCAGTTTTTTCTTGTATACCTATCTCAGCTTATAGTTTCGAATCAAGCTATTAAAAACTCAAATTGTTCGCAATTCAATTTTCTACACTGGTCTTTTTTTCTTTGTGTCGTCTGTTTTGTTTCTGTATTTCTTTCTGTTGTTTGTCTTTTCTTTTTCTCCTTGTTTTTCTTTCTGTTGTTTGTCATCTATTTTCTATTTTTCTTTAACTCTGTACCAAAGCGGCAAAGGTTTGAGTTAGAAACTAGATATTGAGCGATATGAATTCGTTTTCTCTAGATGCTTGTGTTTATTTCTCCCTATTTTCGGGTCCTGTTCGTCATGATTCCATGGTATTTCGGCTTTAGCTCAGTCCTTCTGATTCCTTTGGTTTCAATAATTATAAAGATGTTAGCTAACACAGGAAGCAGTGATGAGTACCAAGTCCAGTTTTTTGAGAGTAGGTAGATTGTAGATTGTATTTGAATTCATTACAGCTTATACCAGCCATTGAAGCACTGCTACCTTTCCAGAGATTTTATGCTTCTAGTTGGTTTCCAAGATTTGTAGGCTTCTCCCAAACACACAGGACAGCTTCCTGGGTGGTAAGCCACCTCTTGGGGTGTTAGCCGTAGAAGTGAGCAATACCTATTATAATGTTCTGTAGTTTATGTTGCTTGTTCGCAAGATCTGAAGCGGTCGCTGTCTGATTTGCCTATTGTTTTTAGGTGATATTTCACTAGGCAATGCCAAGTGAACAGACCAACGACTGTTCTAATGTCTCTTCTGTTCATGTCAAGAAGTTATTCAATGTTCAGATCTCTTTGCTTAGATCGATATGACCCTTTCTGCCTGTCTCAGACCTGGAATGGATCTCCAATGAGCCAGCATTCAGTCCTTCTCTCATCTATTCATTTCTTCGGAGACGTGGCTTTTCATTTGTCTACAAAAAGATTCTGTGCCCTAAATGCCCCTGAAAAGGTGTTAAAGCGCCTTGCTTTGCGAGACGATCTGCCCTCTTTGCACTGGGCACCTGGCACCGACATCACAGCTACTCTGTTCCTCCCAGTCAGTTGCTTGAGGATATTTTTACCTTCTCAAACTAGCTGCGAATTGCACTTGATTAGAGCCGCTTGACTGTAAATATACTCTCTTAAAAGGCTTCTTTTAAGGCACACTTTGACACTGATGTTTATGGCGAGCTTGAAATATTGTCAGTGTTATACCCATTGCTGAGGAGAATTTAAAGTTTGGCCTAGTTGTTCCCAGAATGACCCTTTCCGTTAACTTGGAAGCATCTGTGTACCACAGTCCACAGTCCACAATGATGCATTGTGTCCGTTTGAGGTAGCTTTTGCGTTCTTCCATTATTGGCCAGTGATGTTATCATATTATGATCTGTTGGTTTACTCAACGACTCGAGCTTTATAGATTGAAGGACGCGTAAGTGGCCATTCAGGTCACTAGGTTTGAATATTTCTATCTGGAATAGCCTATAGAAATTCTTACCTCTTTTTTTGCAGATAGGTGAAGAGTTAGGTATGTTCAACAGTGTCTTTGGGGCTGCGTTGAGGCATCAGGTTAACATAGCTCCTGTTATTCCTAGACAGACTTTGTAGTACTTTGTACTTTGCGTAGACTGTTCTGTGGAGTAGGAAATTTGCTCAGTCTTTGCGGCCACCATACCAATGAGGCATAAGTGACAATGGCCGGTATGATTAAAAAGAGTATTTGCTTGTACTTCAAGTAGAGCTTTTACTTCCTAGTAATTTGTGGATAATCTTTCACATAATAGTTATTTATGATATAAGTGCTAAAAGTGACATTTTATTTTGTGAAAAGGGAAGTTTGGGGCACGACGCCGAAGGCGGAGTGTTCCATCCCTTTGAACAAAATAAAATCACTTTTAGCACGAATATCATACACTATTTTTTCTAGAAACGCACTAAAAGTGATTACTTTTAGCACTAGTGCTAAAAGTAATCACTTTTAGCACCAGTGTCATAAAAGGGCATTTTAGACACTGACAGTATCCGTTAAAAATGACACTTTTAGTGACGTTTGTAGAAAAAGTAAATTCTTTTATGGGAAGTGTTTACTCAGGTTAAACGTATAAACTAGTGGTAGGTAAATACTAGAACCTGTTTAACCTCAAATAGGTAGGTTTTTTTTTCTTATGCGGGTACAATCTATCGTTCCTATTTCCCAAGTATTGTCATCCATCTTTAGCTAATTCAATATCGCGGGCATTTTGAGGAAAAGAAATCTAAACATTTTTATTCCACGCAACTTTTTGTGAAACTTCTTTAATTACTTTTGACACGGTTGTTTGATGTACCGGACATCTACATCAACTTTTTGTTCAAATCCAGGATCACTTAGGGCCGGTATTGTAATGTCCGGTTGACCGATGATTGAGTTTCAACTGAGGTTTCAACCTTCGGTCAACTTGACTTATAATACCGACCCTTAGACAGTGGCGGATCCAGGGGGGGGAGGGGCGCGGGGGGCGCGCGCCCCTTCCTGAGAGCCACAAATACTACCAAATTTTTAAAAAAAAAATCATAGAAAAATTTTATACAAGAATTTTCCAATAAAATGTTAGTGGAAAATTTTCCAAGCTACACTATTGTTCAATTTATTGTTTTGTTTTTATCAGATAAATGTGTTATAGGTATTTTTATTTGGAATAGGTTTTTACATTTGTTATTTCCGGTTTTTTCATAGGTGCAGGGTTGTCCAATTTGAACATTTTTGATAGAAAAACATCAATTCCTGAGCGAGATACAAAAAAATCAACCCCCACGCTGAGGCTCAAATTTTATGGTATCTTTAAGCGTTTTGTGGCTAGAGAATCCAGTGAGTTTCTCAGTTTTTTTTCTATTTGTTCCCGAATTTGAGATACTAACCAGAGTCCGATTGTTTTGATGGGACACCGGACACCATATATTAATAACTGATTGGATAGCTCTGCTTTTGCTGCTTTCAATGATATACAGTTCGATTGGTTATATCTGTTTTTGTTATAAGAAACAATGTGTTAGAAGAGGACTTTATATCTATAAGGAAAATGAGATAGGTCTCCTTCTAACACATTGTTTCTTTTGATTGAAACATCTATAATTTTTTTTCTAGAAAACTGTTAGAGATAGACCTATTAAACCTTACATGTATCATTAAAATAAGCAATAATAGAGCTATCAATGAGTTATTAATATATACCTAGGGTTTTTTATTTAAAAAAAAAAATAAGACAAATTAAAAAAATTGAGTACCTACCTACCGTAAGGTGGGGTTAGTTGCAACATTTTCAAAATTCTTTTGCCGATACCTTCTTTATTTTTTTGTCGAATTTGACCTAATTGGTGCCAAAATTTTAGTCTTGTGGTCTAGTATCCGATTCTAACAAAAAACTGTGAACAACAGTATTATTTGATATATATTTAAAAAAAAAAACTGGGTGTTGCAAGTTGAACACCTGCAAGGGGATACTTGCAACAAGTGGCTTTTTTCAGTAGTAATTGTATTTAGGAACGCGTGTTAACTTACTTGCAACACAAAATATTTAAAAAAAAATTGGCTAATTTTGGCCAATTTTGGTCAGTTTTTCCTCCTCTTCCTTTAGAAATACAGGCTGCCAGGATCAAGGGGAAACAAGTTTCTTCTTTTCCGAGAAAGCGTTGCTGGGTCAATCCCGAATTCTCGCGATGCTTCCCGAATCCCTGATCCGTTTTCGATGGCCCTTAATGCATTTTCCAAAGTTTCATTGGAATAATTACGGTAGGTCCTACTCCCTAACTGTTTTTTGTATTTGCGAGGCATGTTGCAAGTTACCCACTTTTGTATGTACAGGGTGTCCGAATTTGGATGGTTTTAATAGGCAACATCAATTTCTGAGCAAGATACAAAAAAATGAACCCCCCACTCCGAGGCTCATTTTTCTTGAAATTTTGATTGGTGCAAACCGCATTTTGATATCTTCAACTGTTTAGCCGCTAGAGGGCGATTCTCGATTTTGAGAAATAATGTTAAACCATCATAACTTTTTTGTTTATGAAAATTATTGATTTCCGTAAAAACTTTCTAGAAGCACTTTTTAAAGCAGAATTCAGTGACGTTCTCAGTTTTTTTCTAGTTGGTCCCAACTCCGAGATATTGACCAAAGTCTGGTTTTTTTCAATAGGACACTCTATATATTAATAGCTCATTAGAAAGCTCGGCTTTTTCTGATTTCAATGATAAAAGTTCGATAGGTTTATCTCTAATAGTTTTCGAGAAAAAAAATTATTTCGGTTTTTGTCATAAGAACATCATAAAGCTGACAAAAGCCGAAATATTTTTTTTCTCGAAAACTGTTAGAGATAAACCTATCGAAATTTGTATAATTGAAATCAGCAAAAGCAGAGCTTTCTAATGAACTATTAATATAGGTAGATACCTATAGGGTGTCCCATTGAAAAAAATCGTATTTTGGTCAATATCTTGAAATCGAGGCCGAATAGAAAAAAACTGAAAACGTCACTGAATTCTGCTTGAAAAAGTGCTTCTAGGAAGTTTTTATGGAAATCAGTTATTTTCATAAACAAAAAAGTTATGAAGATTTTACAGTATTGCTCAAAATCGAGAATCGCCCTCTAGCGGCTAAACGGTTGAAGATATCAAAATGCGGTTTGCACCAATCAAAATTTCAAGAAATTTGAGCCTCGGAGTGGTGGGTTCATTTTTTTGTATCTCGCTCAGAAATTGACGTTTCCTGTTAAAACCATCCAAATTCGGACACCCTGT